AGTAGATAAGGTAGGTGGACTAGACTTCAAAAAAGACTTGGTTTGGTCTAACTGAATTATCCTTTTGGAATTTAAAGAAGGGCCAAAAAGTAGATGAAATCGTAAAGGGCATCATACAATAAGCAGGTCTTAGCCAAAGTTCAAATGAACATTTGCTATAGGCATTATGTAAAAATAAAAAAATCCAGATACTTACACTTTTTGGAAAGGCTAAAATTATAGTACTCAGAGTATCCATACTAAGGAATATCAGATGTACAAATAATACTTCTGGGGGAATTCTGCACCACTGCATGCATGCATAATGTGCCGTGCATATTTTTAATTTTTTGAGCAGAAAACAGCTTCTGCTTGAAAGTTGCTGCAGTTCTGCCTTTTGCCCACCAGAGGATGCTGTGGCAATAGACCAGAGCTGCAGCTTCCGGGCAGCTGGGGAAGTCAAAGAGCCCTGCCTTCTTCACAGTGCCTATTGGGCTAGGTTAGGAGACAGAATATGGGGAGAAAGACAACATGGGGCTGCTGGGGGGGTCACAGATGGGCTGCTAGTGGCAAAGGACAGACTGGGGCAGGGGCTGAATGGGAGTGGAGGTGCAGGGAGGGGGGTGCAAGGCCCTATGGGGGAGGGGTGGTTGAGTATGGGCACAGAGACATATGGGCACGGGAAAGGGGGTGCAGGGCCACATGAGGAACTACTCAGAGTTCTGTATTAATATGCCTAGTAAGGAATCTATTTGTGTCAAAACATTTCTTTAATCTTTTGTTGTTGTTTGTATTGTTGCATACATACTTGCTGACAGGTATTTTGAAATAAATTACCAAAAATAATTGAAATTGGTGTGATTATATTGTGTTATTTTGACAAATAAAATGTGCAAAATTTTAAAATATTGTGTGCAAAATTTGTGATTTGTTGTTGTTGTTGTTGTTGCAGAATTCCCCCAGGAGTTAAATAACTTTCATATGTCACTACATGTACAGTATTGATTCAGTATCCATTCACCATATTGCTGTTAATACTCAAGATTGCCAGCAAAGCAATTCTAATAATAATATTAACAGAACTAAATGGCAGCAATGACTTTAGTTTAAATGATATAATTGTACTCTACCAACTTAAATAAACATTTGCCAAATATTCCTTTAGTATGGCATGTCTCCTTAGGGCAGACTAAACTAGTTTGGCAAATCTGACCTGACATTTTTAGGTCACACAGTTGAAAAATGATATAATATAGTAAACAAAAAAGATTCAAGCTCTCTAGCAAACCCCTGAAGAATGTGAAACAAATGCAAGATTTCTTGTGTGTGGTGGGATGGTACCCTATACTTTTTTTTTTTCATTGCAATTACTGAATCATCAAAATAACTGAATACTACCCTGTACTTTTGAGAACACTGCAATGGTACTCTTTTTTTTTAAAGTTAAAGGAAAATTGTAGTCTATATTGGCTCATTCAGGTCAGAAGCTATCTCAGATTGTACATGTGAATGCCAGTAGGCTATGGGATGTTCCTAACTCATAGCATTGGTGGCAATCTATATCATTAGGTCATTTAAACCAAGTGAATGAAATGACACCAATGAAACGTTTGGCAGCACTATGCAGTAATAGAGATTTTGGTTCAAATTAAGGGAGTCTAAATAGGTATAACTTGTGTATGCTGGCGCTTGGTATGTAAATTATATCAATGTAGACTCAGATCATCTTGAACTAACAGCCAGTTAGTAACAGGTCAGTTACACACTATTATGCATCACCTCTGGGTTTGGCTGACAGACTAAGGAAGATGTAATTTTCATTTCTAGTGAAGGAATGGTCTAATTTACTTAGTGAAGGGTGCCATAAATTACATAATTTTAGACTGGCCTATAAATGTAGTTCATTGTGTAAAGACTATTAGCTGAATATTGTTTGGTGCTTGGAATACTTTAGTCCACCCTAACTTAAATTTTTGTGTGGCAAATTGGACTTCGATGTTTCCGTTTTAAGATTTTACCATGGATATGGAAGAGGAAAACTTTCAGATGTCCTGTCCAGGATCATCTTGAACGTGTCTAGCTCATGGACAATTAACATTCCAAAAGGGCTTTCTGTAGTTGAAAGCAGATAATGCATGCCTTAAAAAAGATAAAAATCCTTAATTGTGGCCCAGTAGTGCCTCCTGTGATGTCAGTGGGAGATTTACCATGGACTTCAGTGGAAGCAGAAATGGATTATTTACAGAGTGAATATTCAGTAAAAAGAAGCTCAAAAATCAGCTTTTACAGTAAGATATGGTGTCTCAAGTTTCTAAACAGGATTTATATGGAGCTATATTCTTACTGAATCAGAATGAGTACGGTAGAGTGTTGGAAGTCACGTTCTGGTGAACATCTTAATTTTGTTCACTACTTTACATGTTACTAATTCAAAACTCTAGGGACTAGCTTTTGGCCTTTTGGACTTTTTGGCCATGTGTCATTGCTGATATAAGTAATATTGTGGAATGTAATCTGCCCCCTTGTACTCCATACATTTTTGATTTTCATGTGTCATAAATTAGACTTGTTTGCTCTGTAAAAATAGTATTTTCTGGTCTACAAAATTAACTTGATCTTGGTGAATAAAGTGAGTGGCATTCCTGTCAAGGAGAATATATGTAATCTTAAGTACACCATTAACCATGCTCTTTTTCATTTTCAGGATTTGTATATAGTGAATCTGAATCAACTGCATTAGAACAATTTGAAGGTGGCCCTTGTGCGGTGATTGCACCCGTTCAGGTAAAGTGCACTGGTTACAGAAATGGTTTAAACAGGCACAAAATTTCACCAGCTCTTACATAATTTATATGGTACCATAGCTGAATAAAAAAATCAAGCCAAAGATAGAGAGGGATCCCCAGCCAGTTGAATTTACAACATCTGATAAATACAACACATGAGACAACAGTCTAAGAACAAGAAGGGACAAAAATAGTCTATCAACATAGAGACTTCGCGAAAGTGGTATTTTCCTTCTGGGAAATAAGAGAGACAAATTCAAGCCTAGGTGGCTTAAAAGAAGGTATAGAGCAGAGGCTGAGCGGGATAAAAGAGCAATTAAAAATGTAGCAAGTGAAAAGAAAGCACAGATGAGATGTAAGCAAGACTGATACGAAATTACATAATCCTTTTTACCTCAAATTCACCAATGCTTTTCTTAAAAGTATTGCCTTCACCACAGCAGTCCCAGGCACCACTGCAATAGGTAATTCTGTTCAAAAAATTTAGAGCATTTGAGTTTCAAGTGGTTACTGAATAAACAAGTGGAAATAATAAACTTTCATAGTCCCAGATCACTGGGACTGAAATCTGTGAAGTCAATATAATGAAGACATTAAATTTATCATTGCCGTTCTTGGGACTCCTATACTGGAAACTTTATATGGATTGCAGTACCCTTGATTGCCTGTGATGATGATTTTCAAACTTTCATAGTGTGGGTTACGTTAGTATCTTGTAGCCAATCCCAAAGTGAATTAACATACCTGTGATAATTTAAGCAATTGCTTAAATGGCAAAGTAATAATAGGAAAGTATTTAGTTTGTTTTTTTTAGCTCTTTCTAATGTAGCTTCCATTGCAGTCTGTGGTCCATAGTTTGGAGTCACTGTTCCATGACATAAGCATTATAATACAATTAAGTCCTCCTAATTTGGGAGAAAAGAACACAAGTCAGTCAGCTGCCTATAAATCTAAATAAATGGAAGGGGTATGCCAATGGTTCGAAATCTATGAGACTGTTCTCATTTCAGTGTATATAGATTCAATTCCCTTGTCCTTCAATTTGTCTTTTAAAAAATTATTTTAAAAATGCATGGGTGGGTAAAATGGGTTTTGATTGGGGGAGCAGGAAGGAAGGGCTCAAACGAGGAATAAGGAGAGAACCTGGAGTAGCTGCTGATAGCATGGATGGCTAAAGGAAGAAAGCTAGCTAAAGAGCCCTGAGAGGAGAATCTGTTGGGTAAGTGAGCCTGGTGCAAGGAAAGGGAGACTATGGGAGTGCTGTAACACTCTGAAATACTTTGTGGTATGAGTATTAATTAGAGCAGGAGCATATAAATGTGTGTTTACTTTTGCATTGTAAGTGGCAAAAAGAACATCATTTTGCATATTTGGTTTTGAAGTTGGTAGTTTGAGACCTGATTTTTATTTTTATTTTTTTTAATCACAGGGATTTATAGAAAACCTAGCAGATCTCTAGAACTGCGATATATTTTCAGACTGATACGGGGAAACATTACCCAGGCACCCTTTTAAAAGAAAAATGTATCTTGCAAGCTGCTGAGCTTGTTAACTGCTGAAAATGTTTAGTTTGGTCTCTGCATGGAAGGAGGTTAGGGTAGTGTTCTATGTAACTTAGTATGTAGAATTATGACTGGTGGTGTACCTTCACTTAAGCAAGAGTCTCATGGGGTAGTAGTCCTTAGTTCGGTATACAATTTGGCATACAGGTATGAACTCTGGTAGGCAGTATGGGTATACTTCACACTTGAGGTTTATACTTAAAACTAGAGAAACCTATTCTGAAGCCACTGATGTAATAGGATTGAGTAGGGAAACCAGAGAGCAAATGAAGCTCTGGCATGCTTTCATATAGTTTGAGCTCAAATATCTGACATTTTAACTGTATATTATTGCTGTCTTTTTAATATAAATATAATGTGAAATGTAGAATTGAATTGATGTAGAGTAAAAATTGATTACCGTATATACTCGTTCATAAGCCGAATTTTTTAGTAAAAAAGGAAAGCACCAGAGAAGGGGGTCGGCATATGAACGGGTATAGAGAGGGAGAGGTGGGACACAGTCCCTCTGCCCAACAGAGGGAGCAAGGAGAGGCAGCACTGCCAGCAGACCCAGAAGGAAAGAGGTGGGGCCAGAGTCTCTCCGCTTCTGGCCACGCTGCTCTCCCCGCAGCCTCCAAAGCAGCTGCAGCTCTGGGCCTGGCAAGGTGCAGCCGTGCCACTTGGCCCCGCCCCCCAGAGCAGGCTGTGGCTGCTGCGTCCGTGCCGCCCGGCCCAGCCCACTAGAACATGCTGTGGCCACGCCGCCCGGTCTGGCCCACCAGAGCAGGCTGCGGCCGTGCTGCCCAGCCTGCCAGAGCAGTTCCAGCCAGGCCAGAAACATCCTCCCCAGATAAGGTGAGAAGGGATGGGATGGGAATATTGTGGGGGTCCCAGGCTAGGGGTGGGGTTAGGGGGAGGGTGGTCACAGGTTACTGCCATGACTCCCAGCTTCTCTCCCCACCCTCCAAAACATTTCCCCACCAGTTGCTGTCCCAGTCCATCAGGGTAAGCAGCTGGCACGCCAGGACACTGTTTATTTAGGTTTACCTCCGTGCCTGCAGACGCTCGAGGTAAACAAACCATCTTGTCCCGCCAGTGGCTTATCCTGATGGCCCAGGAGCCAAAGTTTGCTGACCCCTGAATTATAGGGTTGGTTTATGAATGGGTCATAAAAAATTTCCATTTTTACTTATTCATCTTGGGGGGGGGGGGTCGGCTTATAAACGAACTGACTTATGATCGATTATATACAGTACTTCATCTTGTAGTCTAATGCTTGTTTCTTTCACTACATAAAGGCATTCCTTTTGAAGAAGCTTTTCACCTGTGAGAAGTCTGCTTGGAGAGAATGTCAAGGTAATTAGGACCTGTTTTCATATTTTTTTATTCTAGTAATTTGCATTACAAAGAGGTTTATAAATATTTGTACATTTGCCTAACTGTGCTGCCATGCTGTCTTCATAGTGGGGAAAAATGATACTTATACTTCACATGGCACTAACTTGCTAATTTTCATACTTCAGTGCCAGTCTACAATATTTTTGATCACATTGGTGGACATCACTGATTCAATCATTCATCTTGGATTAGTTTAAATTCTTATAAACTAAACTGAAAGTGAGTAACAGAAATCTTATTGCGATGTATCTTTGGAGGGCTGGCTTTAAATTTCTGTACTCTGACAGTTGTCAACGTTAATAAGTGGGTGCATACATTCAATGCTATTAGCATACTTAAGATAGTGATAAACAGTAATTGAACTCATGCAGGATTCTGATCTTTCAGAGGAAGAACAGAAGAACCTTCTTTGTCATACGTTATGTGACATTTTAGAGATGGCTTGCTCTGATAATTCTGAATCGTACTCTTTGGCAACATGGATAAGAGGAAAAACAACTGAAGAGACTGCTAGTATTTCTGAGAGTCCTGTCGAGTCAAGTCATCAGGAGGAACAACCCTGTAAGATGTATTTCTCTCTAAATTAATTGTGTTGTCTCCTGAGCAATAGTTCATTCTTTTAGAGAACCCTCAATAGCTATGTCGGTGGACAAAGTTCTCCTGCCAACCTAGCATTATCTACACCAGTGCTTAGGTCAGTGTAATTTACATCGCTCAAAGGGGGTGGCTTTTTCACTCCCCTGAGCGACGTAAGTTATATTGCAATAAGTGCTAGTGTAGACAGATGGTGTGAGGAAGGGTACACCATCAAGGTGATAGTCATACATTATTTATTTCCAATTTTGTTGTACATGAGTGTACTTGTTTTCTGTAGGCAATATTGCAAGAGAAAGCTTTTAAGAATAGATAAATCGGGTGACAGTATTGGATAGAGTTTGGATCATAAGCTCTTTTTGGTAAGGATTGTCTTTATTAACCTCTGATAAGTGCCTAGGATGCTTTGGAATGCTCAGATAATAGTAGTTAAACATACTTGTTCCTAGAAGCTGCTTAATTAACAAAGTTCAACCTCACCATATAGTGGCTATTAGAAAGATTATAAGTCTCTCAGAGAGGATCACTTATGGAATTTCTGCCCGTTTTTGTGCAACAAACATGTTTTTCCACTTACAACTTTATGCACATTATGTCTTATTGGCAACTTATTTCTAGGGATTGGTAAATTCCTTCTTTGAAAGATTATTGTAACCAGGGAATAGCAGTATCTGTGTAAAATATTTTCTGTATGGTTTCCTGTTTGTCATGAACATCATCTTTGTGCTATGAAATTTGTCTTGTAAGAGATTGGAGCAGTTTCTGGTTGCCGCAAGGCTTTTCCAAACCGACTCTCCTTGTTAAAATACTGACCTGTCCTGAGCCCTATGTGAACATGGAAAGTGGGCTTGCTTACCACAAAAAACCCTCTCCCTTTCCCCTGCAGCAACCTTGATATTGGCAGCCCGGCCACTTAGGGCTTCTCTTCACTGCATTGACAACTTGGGCTCAACCAGACTCCTGTCCCCCCACACACAAATCTCTAGCTCAAGTTCAGTAGTACTTTAAGCTCCACCTAGCTAGCCCATAAAGGAGGGTGGTTTGGAGCAGAGTGCTGCTAAAGCTGGAGCTAGTAATGTAGAGGGGATGTAGCAACTCCACTTTCAACTAATCCGCTGATAATCCAATCACTCTAGTTCAAAGTGTTCAGTAGTGTGGTCACTCTCACTACAGCTAGGCTAGTTGGAATGTATGAGCTAACTGTTGTAGTGAACTAATCTGTCCCAACGTATTCCTATATATTTTTTGATGTTGCTGTACCTTTTTGGGAGTCGTGGTTGACTTTGCCCTTTATAAATGGGATGTGATATCACATCCCAGCATTAGTCAAATTTTCCCTCTGTTCTGAAGAGCCTGTACTTTAAAGGAAGAGCAGGGAACTTTAATGGTGAACCTCCCTTGTCTGTCTCTCTCTGCTCTGGGGCATTGAACAACTCATCTCTTATTTGTACTCTGGAGTTCAAGAAGTATTTTGATTTTTTACTTCCCTCCTGGTCTCAAGATTTTTTTTCTCCTGTCCTCATTTTCTCCCATTTTAGCTATAGGGGGGCTTCCAAGTCCTTAGCTGGCTAGGCTGTGGACAGAGAGATGGGTACCAAGGAACTGATGGCAGTGCAAAGTTTCAGCACTAGCAGGGTTAAGATATAGATTGAAATTTTCTGCCTTTGCTGCTGTGACCAAATGAACATTCAAACTTCGCCTTTTCGTTTTTCAAGACTTTTGATGTTGCGGAGGACAGGATGGTTTCACAGATGGCAGTCAGCTTGACAGTCAGGCTGCTGCTTTTGGGATTCTAATTACATACTTCCAATGGAATAAAAGCTGAAGTATATTTATAATGTTGTAAACATTTCTACCTCTGTCTTAATACATTAATACTATAAAATAATTCTAAATATTGTAAATATAGTATTTTTTTAAACTCAGCTTTTTTCTAATCACCTTTTTTCTTATATGGATATTTTTTATTTCATCTGTTCTTTCCTCTCCTCTTTTTCTCCCAACTAAATGTTGTTTGTGTGATCTCATCTGAATTATGCCTGTCTCCACTATTTTTTTTAGCGCTACCCCTTCTCTTCCAGGCCCCTCATCTGTTGTCTGCCTGTTTCCTGCTTTTGTTCCAAATGTTAAGTTTCTGCTATTCCACTCCAAGTAGTATCAGAGTGAAATGGTCTAAAATACTGTTCTTAGAACTGTCAACAAAGTGGATTCAAACACACATACAGAATGGTCATGTTTGTTTCATCTGCTTTTGTGGTGTACACTAATGACTTGTTGGCCATGCACTTCATTATAATCATGCAAGCTCTCGGGTTCAAATGTTGATTTGTATGTATATTCTCTCTAACTTTTTTCCTTTCCTTTTTTGTTTTAAAAACGTAGTCTCTTTAGCTACAATAGCAGTTATGACGACTTCTTTAAAGTTACAGTAATTTTCATTATGAACTACTGTTCATGTGTTTTCCAAAATACATTTTTTTTGCGGGAATGTAACATGCATGATTTCTTCCCCAAAATAAATTTTTTAGACTGTGTAAAGTTTTTTAGCCATTAAGTTGGAAGGGTTAAATGATCATTCCCCTTTTTCAAAAAATATTCTGGTCCAGTCACTTTTTATGGGGTTAACTTGGCAATTTCTATCTTGATACGTGAGTGGTCCACTGACTAGAGAAACAAGCTTGTAAGTCATAAAACAAATATACCTCTACCCCGATATAACGCGACCCGATATAACACACATTCTGATATAATGCAGTAAAGCAGTGTCCGGGGGGGCGGGGCTGCACACTCCGGCGGATCAAAGGAAGTTCGATATAATGCAGTTTCACCTATAACGCGGTAAGATTTTTTTGGCTCCCGAGGACAGCGTTATATTGAGGTAGAGGTGTAGCTCTGAATTTTTTTTACTTATTTAAAAAAGGAAATCTATTAAGACAAGGATCCACAGGTAACTTAGCCATTTCAGGATTGATTTTAAGGTTATAACTATTATCTGGCCACATTGCACATTTGTCTTGTCTTCTGTTCTAGTTCAAGTATTTGTCTTCATATTTCTTCAGAATGCATATGGTAGGACATGAGACTTACAAAAAGATCACGTTCTTCTTATAAATATACCTTTTGCAATTCCTGACTGCTTGTGATTTTTAAAACCATTAATATGTAGGTGACAATGCTGAGGATACTGAAATCATGGTCCAAAAACCCCCCATTAGCCATTGCAAAAGTCACCTCTTCACCGAAGAGAGAAGCATATTGTGTATTGCGGGCAAACTAAAAAGGCCCTTCAAAATACAACTTTGATATTCAATTAAGCCATTCCTCTACAGATAAATGAGATACTTTGAGGAATGCTTAATGCTTTGTGAACCTTCATACTGGATCAGTAGTGTTGCTTATGGCAGGTACACGTGTAATTGATACAGGGCACAATCATGCATTCATTGAAGCAAACAGAATCACTGCTACTGACTTCTGTGCCTTCAGGATCAAATAGCTATTCAGAAATTCATTGTTCAGTTTTAATTGAAAGTGGAAGCATCTGTTGTATCTATTATACACAAGGAATAAGATGAAAACATTCAGGAATATTGGTGGAGTCCAAGCCTGTTAATGCTGCTGCTTTTTGAGTGTCTCTTGTAATCTTAGATTTGTTTTACACATTTTACAAGTATCAAAAAGATTTTAGAGCCTAATTATTTAAAAGCAAGGGGAAGTCAAGAAAAGCTCATTTTCTCTCCATTTCAAAAGCTTTTATGAGGGACCAAAAGGTCTACAGTGAACCTGGGACAACACTACATGCTGTATTCTTTTTTTTTCCCCCCTCTAGCTGTAGATATATTTCAGGAATGTCTGAGGAGAGAGTTAGTTTAGAGTTATGAAAACTTGTTGCAGGAACAGTGTGCCTAAAACTATCTGGAACCATTCTAATTTGTTTACAAAAACAAATGTTTCTTAAACATTTGAAAAAAAGTACAGCTTTCTTACATTGACACTGCTCTAAAACTATTCAAATAATCATGCTTGCTTTCCTCTAGAAAATAATACTTGCAGTTGACTTGCAAAATTATTTGTAGCATGCTTCTGCTTCGTGACTAACAATCATCATCACTTTTGCAAAATGAACAGTTTATATATTTACAAATTTTCAAGGCTACCAACTAGGGGCTGTGTAATCTTGATTTTTTTTGCTTTTGTTTTTTGTTTTGTTTTTTTCAAATTTTAAGATACAAATCCATGAATGCACCACTATTTAGATTACAGAGAAGTATGGTGAATAACCCATATTGTTACAGTGAAGAAGATTACATCAGTTAGATACAAAAATTGAAAATAAAATTGAAAATTTCAAAAGGAGGGGAAATTAAAAATATAATTGCTTGAAAGTATACTAGCTTGCTGTGCGTATCTTGTGTGATTTTTTGCCATGTGTAGTGCTGAAAAGTGTCTCTTGTGTATAGCTGCCTTGGCTGCCGAAGAGCTTGGCTTTGAGCGATTTCATGCATTAATTCAGTAAGTAACATGTTGGAACATTTAAAATACATTATTTTACAATCTCACTAATATTCAAAATCAGATATATGGCAAAGTGTTGTAAGAGTTGGTCAAACTTGGAGTTTAAAACTTTGTTTTTACGCTGTGTATTTATAATTCAAAAAGGAAGCAATAATTGGTTCAAGATTTTTAAAAATTATCTAAAATGTCAGATTAGCACACTTTACACATAATTATGTGCATCTCCTTGCAGTTAATTAAAAGGCATGTTTAATAAATTTGAGTAAAAAGGATATGAATAATTAAATTTGTTGTGATATAGTCTTCACAGATTATGCTGATTTAAAAAAAAAAAATGCTTGTTTGACTTGTACTGCAAGAAACAGCTTGCCTCACCTGGTATCTTTCTATAACTTAGACAGGCCAGGAAACTTTTTAAATAAATGTTTAATTATAATATATATATAATATATATTATATATAATATAACGTGTAGTGACCTTTAGATTATTATAGTGGTAACTTTTATTTTATCCAAAATATGTCTCTGATGGTAATAAATTAAAAAAAAAGTTATATCTTTACAGGAATAAAATGTAAGGAACAAAACGAGAATAGTAATAAAAGTTTAAGAATATTTTGGATCAAATAAATGTTACCACTATAATAATCTATAGGTCACTACAAGTTTTTATCACCTTCAAGAGTACTTACAATAGTCTCTACCAATCAGTTTTCAAAACATCCTTTTCTGTGATGGTGGAAAGAGGACGGAAAAAAATAACATGTTGCCTGACCTTGTAATCAACTCTTGTCTCTTCCTTGGTCCTGTCGTAGGTCCCCAGATGTTTCCCCATCACAGCTTCTCACAAAACACCTCACTGGGAGTGGATATGCTTTCCCATGCCCTGTTGACCAAATTCATTTGGCGGGTTAGGTTTCTGAATTTTCTGTGCCTCCTGTACCTCTTTCAAGGTTGCAGGATGCCTTTTGTTACCAAGAATGGCTTGGGTGAACCTTCCCCCTCACAAGCAAATTTGCACCATTGCAATATAAATTTAACATTAAATAAGTTTTATTAAAAACAGAGAAAAGTGGAGTAAAAACAATGGCTTGTTTAGTATATTTAGATTTACACTTAGCATAACATACATTAGGTAAGGCTTTCTCAGCTTAAGTGACGGAAAAGAAACAATGCGTACGTATTCTTAAAAGAAATTTATGGTTGTGATCCCATGTTGTCCCAAGAGAAAGCAATCACGTCACTTACCTGCATTCAGAGATTTCTTCTACTTCTGACTTTCATTTAAGACCTGTCTGCTTGTCCAGATATGCCTCCCATCATTTAGATTAGCCACCTTATTTTCCATACCAGTTTTTCCCATTACACCCATCCACACACAAGTTGAGGACTTTTTGCTTTCACTAAGGCTTTGTCTAAGAGGTGGCCCATTGAGGCTATGTCCTTTTAACAGCAGCCTTTCAAAGGCTTAATGATTCTTTGAGGGGCAAGCTGGTCTTTAAAATGAAGTCTCAGAGAGGAAAGTGGTTTATAATAGGTCCTGCACATTGTTCACTGAAGGAAAATAGTTTCACTTGATTGGGTAGAGTTTTTCTTAAGATATAACTCTCCCCTCTTCCTTCCTTTCATTATTAATTACTGTACCGACAGACCTATTCAGTCTACTGCAACTTCAGATTTGAAAAACTTGTTAATTATTTATTTTAGCCACTTTGCGCTATTTCAAATGTACATAATTTATACTAAAATATTTGCATATTAGTAAAAATATAATACTGTAACCAGCTTCTCTAAAGAAACCATTTATTTGCTCCTCTGATAAGTAAATACTAATAGTTGTGGCAGGTATATTAATTGCAGAGATTGCTGTTTAACTGTCTCAGCATGCAGTAACACTGATGTTACTCTGTTTACTTGGACAGCTTAATGTTAGGACCTCAGATTCTCTTTACTTTTTACACTATTCTAATGCTACATCTAAATTATTTCTCTCTC